AGTGCAGGGACTGCAGTTTGATCCCTGGCAACACATGCCCCCCAACACCTTCCTGCCCTCAGGATGGGCTGAGCCGGCCACATACACACACAAAAGTAGATATTACTTAACCCAATTTATCTAAAATATTATTTCAACATATAATCAATTAAAAATTAACAAGACTTCTTTGAGACAGGGTCTGACTGTAGGCTGGTCTTCACCTCCCTGTGTAGCCCAGGCTGGCCTTGAATACAGAGCTTATGTATGGTTTCACTCACAAGAGGCATCTAGAGGGACCAAATGTACAGCACTGACAAGGTAGAAACGTGGCTGCCAGGGCCTAGGTGGAAAGATAATTGGAAGTGTTTGAAGGGCGTGGGCTTCAGGTTTACAAGATGATAAGAGTTCTCAGAACTATTAGAACAATAATGTGATTGCGCTTAAAGTTGCTGAACTGTGTGCTTTAACATGGTTGAGGTGGCAATTACGTATTTTACTACAAATAACACTGGTATTAAATGAGCCAGAAACCAGGCATGGTTGTTCACACCTCTAATCCTATAATCCTAACCAGGAAGCTGAAGCAGGAGACTCACAAGTTCAAGTCCAACCTGGGCAATGTAGCAAGAACCTGTTTGAAAAATTTTTAAAACAAAACTTAAGGATGAGGGGGGTAGCTCAGTGGTATAGCAGTTGCCTGTTATGCATGAGGCCCTGAGTTCAATCCCCAGTACTACAGTCAAGTAATGAATGAGGTTGAACTACATTAAATAGAAATAACTGATCCAGTAAGAAAAGAAGCAAATTATAAACACTTAGGTAGAGTGTGACTTCTGTTATAAGTTTCAAAAGTGCATAATCGTATATAGGCCTTTTCCCCACAGGTTTGCTATTCTGTGGGAGAACCGTCAGGTAATAACAAGCCTTAAAATTCAGAGGTGATATTTGCCAACACATTGGAAAAGGCTATGTGGGCTTTGTTCTAATTATATTTTAAAAGAAGAATTTGTCAAACTAGTAAACTATACCAATGGAGATTTTTATATTTTATTGTGTGATTTTCTTTTTTTTCTTTCTTTTTTTTTTTTTTTCCAGAACTGGGGATTGAACGCAGGCCCTTGTGCTTGCCAGGGAAGCGCTTATTCCACTGAGCCATGTCCCTAGCTCAAAATTACCTTTTTTTTTTTTTTTAGAACCGGGGATTGAACTCAGGCCCTTGCACTTGCCAGGCAAGTGCTTATTCTACTGAGCTATCTCCCTGGCCCTGTGTGATTTTCTTTTTAAACAAACAAAAAAATGGGGGCTGGGGAGGTAGCTCAGAGGCATTAGCACCTACCTGGCAAGCACAAGGTCCTGAGTTTGATCCCTAGCCCTGCATGCCATGCCGGCCCTGGAACCAGGCAAGCTGGTGCACACCTGTAATCCCAGCACTCAGGAGACTGAGACAGGAGGATTGCAGCGAGACCAGCCTGGGGACTACAAAAGTGGGCATGAGGCAAGCCTGAAATGCATATCGAGACCCCATCTCAAAAAAAAAAAAAAACCCTCTATGAAGAGCTCACAGCAGTCTTCCTGCCTAGACTCAGAGGGATTCAGAGGGAAAACAAATAGAAAATAGAAAATGATGTAAGACGGTAAGTCCCAGGCGCCATGATAAACATGACTAGGTTAAATCTGCTTATTAAAGTTAACGCTTAAGAATAATCGACAATAGGAAACAGAGATAGAGCTTTTGCACATGGGAAGGAGACAGAGACGGAGGGGACAAGAACATAAAAAGAATTAAGATATATTATGTACATGTACCAATTCCCCAAAATGAATTGGTACACTGCAAATGTGTACTGATAAAAACAGAAGTTATGGGGCCGGGGAGATGGCTCAGTGGAGTAGGCGCTTCCCTGGCAAGCGCAAGGCCTGAGTTCAATCCCCAGTTCCGCAAAAAAAATAAAATAAAATAAAATAAAATAAAATAAAATAAAATAAAAAATTATCTATCTGTCTATCTATCTATCTATCTATATATATA